CGAAGATAAAGAGGAGGAGTCAAGTGCCATCATTGAGCACATTCTTAAAGAACTGAGGGGCATCAACAAGATCCAGGAGGAAATCTCCGACCTCAGGGATTACCTGACCTCAGTCCGAGGATCAGTTGAGGAAGTCTCATCCTGTGTAGATGCTGTATTGTTGGAGATTGAGGGCATCCGTTCTAGCAGCAAGACTAGTTCAGGGGCACATGCAGGTACTTGGTCGGGTGTCGAATCAAAGGATGGACCATCCTCACGCAGAAGGCCTGCTAGTGCTTATGGAAGTTTAGGTAGTGCAATGCCAAAGTCAGATTCAAATTGTTTCTCTCAAGTATGCAAAGAGCGCCATAGCATACATGGAGAATTACTACTACCAAGGCCAGAGGAGTCAACTGTGTCCCCAATTGCTGAATCAGTGGATCCTCAGGAACTGGACGAGGATAACTCTGATCACAGCTCAGATATCCCAGTGGGTGCTCTAGCAAGAAAACTCAGCTTCGGCTACCTTGAAAGGCAGGATGGCCAAGACTGTCCAAGCACCAGCTCTTTGTCTTCTGGTCACAGTTCAAAGTCTGAGTCAGACCTGGAGAGACCATCATCTAGTCATGGAAGAAAGCAGCAAAGAGCTGATGACAGGGAGGAACATTGGACGAACACTGTACCACCACACAATGTAAGTAGGGAATCAGTGTGGCGTAGGGAAAGTGCCTACCTCACTGGAGGTGTGGAGGAAGGTGAGAGCTCTCTTTGCTGTGAAGGAGCCAGTAGTTGGGATCACTACAGAGGTGCAGGAGGTTATGGTACATCGGGCCAGGGTTCCACGGCAAGCTCAGAACATCTCTCTCTTCATTCTGGAAAGCATTATAACTCACCCGCCAGCACTTCTAGCAGGGAGGAATGGCAATCACGGAGGAGACGGCCTCAAAGCCAGTCTGGAATTCATGTTCCAACAGATACCAACGTTGAAAACTCCACAGTAGGGTATGAGTGTGCTGCTGATTTGTCCTACCCTCAAAGTTCTGGTTACCACTCAGTTGATGGGCACGATGGAGAAGCAGAAGAGTTTGGCTATGGACAATCAGATGACCAGAGCTACACAATAGACAGTCAAGTTGAAACTTATTTAGCCTACGAAGAGACTTCAGCAGTGACATGGACTGAAGCACCCCTTGGAACCGCTGGAGGTGACGTGGATCGGTCATTCATCCAACTGAGTGACACCAGTTACCAAAGCTTAGGAAACCGACTCCCTCATCCTGGCAGTGCAGATGCCCAGGCTGGTGGTTTCAATGTCAAACGCATTGGACGAGCTGTGCTTGATTTTAGCTCGGCCTTGCGGGGAGCATTGCGCAAACTTGAAACGCCCGGAGGTGTGAATCCCGGAGAAGAAACAGACTTTGACATATCAATGCCTTCTGACCTGCCTACAAATGAGTTGCCTTCAAAACCTTCATGCTATGAGGCACAATTTGAACAATCAACAGATGAAACCCAGAAAGGTGATGTGGTTGACAGTGGGAGTGCTTTTGGGAAACTTAGCAGAAACAGTACCTTAGATAAATCTGGTAGTTTCTCTGTGGAGCCCATGCTTGAAGAAACCAACAACAGCCTTACATTGGAGTCTGTAGACATTTGCCAACATCCTCCTTGTTCAGACAATATCCCCCCATGTCCTGAAGAAGTCCCAGTCTGCCCTGACCCAATCTACAGTAGCACTACAATACTGCCTAAACCTGATGGCCTTACGGAGCAACCTGCAGAAAGCCCAGTAGAAGGTCCTGCAGAAGTTCCTGCAGATGTGGTTGTTAAAGCTCAGCTTTCGCAATGCACCACTGCAGATTCCTTGTCGGTGTCCTTCTCAGCTGATGACTCTGCAGCACTGGAGGAGCAAAGACAAACTGAGGTGCCACAGCAACCCACTACAGACACTGCTGTGGCCCCAGAGGGCAAACCAGAAGGAGATACAGCAGATCAATCCATAGATATAAGCCAGCTGGATGAACGCAAACTGAAGTGTCTGAGGAGCTTCCAGCAGATTCTGCGGGAGAAGAGGGAAACCAGGCGCAACCTCGCCAGTATGACCATGTCCACGTTCTCTCAGGAGGAGTTTGAACCAGGTAGTCATAACATGGCTTTAAGTTGGGATCACCTCTTGTTTCATCATGTGCATTTTGTTCTTTATTTCTTTAAGTGAGTCACTGATTCATTTTGAATCTCAGATGAAAACAGAGATACAGTAAACTTGCTGTGCTTATCTTTGTTTTTATCTGTTGTAGTCACACTTTTCATGCTTTTAATAACCCTTGGTGAAAGAGTAGTGGTGTTTTTTGTATTTTAATTTGTTCAAGTGTCTTTAAATTATTTTTTTTCTTTTACTATTGTATGTGAACACTAATATATTTATTGTTTTAAGAGCCCATATTATTCTTTTGTGTTGGTCTTTTTCCTTTAGTCTGTTATACATTTTTTGATCATGTAAAAGGTCTGCAAAATTACAAAGCCCAAGCTTCACATTAAAGGAAGGCATTCTCCCTGATTAGAAAATACAAAACAAAACACTGCCGCTTTCCTGCCTGAACAACCATGTCTCCCAAAAATTACATTATCACACAACTAAACTGCATTCTCATTTCCCCTTTGAAAGAAATGTATTTTCTCCCCGAAAGGTACGACTGTGACGCATTGGGAAATGCTTTCAGCTTGAAGGAGCCATAAGTTTATTTAAGTACAAAAGAGGAAGGGATAGAGGCTTCAATAGAACTTTCTCTCAGGAGACTGGGTTTCATGTCTTGTTTTGGACCATAATTCTTAGACTTAAGTTGTATTTTCAAGTTTACTTTTGGTTTTGGTCTGATCAGACAAGTTGGGGCACTAGAAATATACGGTTCGGTTTACTCAAATGCCACGCCTTGGTTTACACTTTTACACTAACAAGTACTTGTTAGAATCTTGCTTAGTTCAGGTACTAAATTAACTTGGTAGGATTTAAGAAAAAACATTATGGTTTGGGTTAGAATGAGTCGTGTCCTGAGTTGATGTCATGGATTAGGGTCAGAACTGATCATTGCATTTATAAGTAATTGGTATCACCATCCATCATTGCCCAATCCTTTGTTTGCATTGGCTGCCTCAAAGGTGTCAGAAAGGAAAACACAACCCTGCCGTCTTGCCACTACCTTTCAGACAATGTCCCATTGGAGCGTTACAATAAGGTTTATGACCAGCTACATACATTGGATTGATTTAATAACTTTATTGGGCTTGTAGTGTGTATTATCTAGGAAAATGGTATTGGTTTACTACATATTAAAATATTCTGATTAGAAGCACAGGAGAAATTGATCAGGACAACACTAGTTAAAGTATGACCCTTTTAAAACGTATGTTGGTTTGAAATGTATTGCTGATACATTGCAAACAAACAGAATTGAATTTGTTTCCCTCAATATGTAATTGAGAATGCAGTTGAGCTTTATGAGAACATAACTTTAGCACAGAGCTGGCCTGGTTTAATTTAATGTCCAGGTTTGTCTTCTGTTACATATGTATGTCTCCATGCAACACGTTTGCATAGTGGCTGAACAGTGGGTAGTTTGACTCTGAACATTAAAGCATGTAGACATATTCCAATAGACACTAAAAAATAAAGCTGTAAAGCTGCAAATGAGCGTAATATGGGCTCTTTAAGTTTTTGTGTTCATAAGTGTTGGCCAGAAAGAAAAAACTTTTGCTTTTTCCACCCACCTTTCTGTCATCAAAGCCTCCCACTGCTGCTGAAACTGTTTGATCTGTCACAGTTGCCGTGCACCATTCACACTGATGAAAGGACAACCTCTGGTATCCTCTCTGAGCATATTCACCCAAGTTCCCCTGGGTATTTACTGTACCAAGCGGTCTCTGTCGGCACTATAATTTTCCACACCCTTGAGAGTAATGTATCACCTGCCACTCACGAGTCCCTTACTCCTCTCCGAGGCATCGGCACTAGCCATTTGCGGAATTAGAAAACATTAATTATCTCCTTGGAAAGCGAGCCTGACATTAAAGAGGGAAGGAGAAGGGAAATATTAAGAGTCATTTTCATGATAAATTATACATGTTAATAAAACATTTATGACCTCAGACCCCATCTATCTGAGAACTCAGTGGCGGTGCTGCTTTTAACGTTAGCTGAGCATTTATAACAAAATGAATAATCCAGGGCGCGGCTTGTTATTTCACATGATGAGTCAAACTAGTCCATGACTGTTTTTCTTTTCTTGTTTCTCTCATGCTGTTTTACAGATGGAAGTCAAGATGGAGAACAGGTTACCTCTTTTGTGGTTTCTCTCCCATTAAAAGCACAGACATAAAACAAAGTCTTCTTTTTGTACAACTTTCTCTGTATTATTTTTATCATTACAGTGTCTGGCTTTTATTTAATTTTTCCTTTTTATCGTGTTTTCTGTCAGTTCCTGGTAAACGCTCACTTAATCCTGAAAGTACAGTGAAATAGCCTGAGGTTTTATGAGACGTCAGCCTCAATGCACCTGAGCCCTGTTAAGAGCATTTGTTGTTTCTGTCATAAATGATAGAATACCACACAGGAATAGGTCAGTATCGATTAGGACGGAACACAGATGTCGATGTTTGCATGTTTTGTTGCCGTCACTGTGATATTTTCTTTACTAGCCGTCAGACACAAAACAAATGGTTAGGTGCCAGAAGTCAATTTGTGGTGTGTTTACTGGAAGCACAAGGTAGGTGTTTACTTTACAAGGTGAAACCAGATTTATGACGCTCATATGCGTATGCGGACGATATGATTGATCGAAATGCACTCTCTGGCATGCAATACGGAAACCCAACCAACTCATTTCAGTCCTTCTGTGCTGTTATTTCCTTTATCACTTTCCTCTTTCTCTGGTATTTGTGCGTGTGCATGCTCCACTGTCACGAAACCAATAAAGACTGTCAGCCCCGAAACGGCTAAACGTTTGACCTGTGACATCCCATTTCAGAGCCGCGATCAAGATGGCGACCCCAGCAAGCACCCGTGGGCCAAACCAGGGTCAGTAGAGCCTCTCTGCTGTGTGAGAATATTATTACCTGATGCGCTGTTTGCACTGATCAATGCGTTTTTGGTATTTGTATGTGTGTGCTTACAGGGGAAACGCACCGTTTGGCATCGACAGCATGCCGGACCTCCGCAAGAGGAGGCCGATTCCTCTTGTTAGCGAACTGGTGAGTATGTCCACTCAATATCAGCCTCCAGACATTTTAATGTTGACATTCACTGAACCTTGACTTCACTGAACTCTAGATTTTCTTTTCTTATTTTTTTTTGCAAATTGACTAGCATTTAAATATGCACCAAGTTGAAAACATTTGTCAATACCAACTGAGTGAAGAATATAATAAGTACGAGCAAGGAAGGCTTTGTCAGCTAAACCCTGAATGAACCATCCATCTCCTGCATGAGAACAATGAAACCCAGTGTATTAAGAGACTGAATATTTAACTACAGTGATGGAGTCGTGTGTCTGGTGTGCAGAATCAGTGGCATGTGCAGTCATATCTCCCTGCAGATATTTGTTGAATATTTGCGCCTCACTAAAGCAGTTTAATCAGAAACACAGTCGAGAAAGTGAGGTCCAACTTTATCACCTCAGTGTACAATATATTTATACTCTGGTTAGACAATGATATTTTTACAGTGAGAAACAAATTCACAGATGAGACCTCCGCTCCTGACAACTAACTATTAGAAATTCTGCAGTAACACACCGAAAATGATTCAGTTTAAGCTTCTTCTGAGTTGGTCATATTGTGATCTTTCTGAAATACACAGATTTCTCCTTTAGCATAAACTAAAACGTATGGATCTCCATTTTTACCCCAAAGAGCCTCAGTGTCCAAGTTCTGTCTTTCTGACTGGAAAGCTGCAGATGATGTCATTTAGCTGCCTGTCATTTAAAAAAATTGTAGGGCTATAGTCATCCAAAGACAGTCTTGGTTGACTGAAATTGTACCAAATCACACTAAAAGATTGATCAAGTTAGCCATAATGCAGTACGTGCCCTCTACCTGCTAGTTTTATTAGGCTAAATACACTGTGAATCAATGGAAACAGCTACTATTTACAGCATATTAAATTACTTTACCCCGTAATTATAAGAACAGACTGGAAGCAGACCAGCTGCAAATATTAATGTAATTTCTGAAGATACACCTAAATCAGCTGGTGATCCAGCTCAAGGTTATTCTCAGTTTTTTGGCCATCTGTTTGAACAAAATGCAGCCATGCTGACGACTTCTTTGACATGGTCTCCTTTCGTTTGGTGCTAAATCTGAGTGAATATCCAGCTAATGTAAAATAAATTAGAAGTCTCCGTTAGTGTCTGTGAAGATCTCAGTCATCCAGGTCATGGTTATTCTCGTAGATTAATCGTAGCAACTGGACTTGCTTGAGTTCCTTGAAGACGTTCCACCTCTCATCCAAGAGGCTTCATCAGTTCTGACTGACTAGTTGGGAGTTCCAGATATTTATATCCTAAAGGAGTCATTAACACCTGAGTTTTGGTTTCAGTTGGGGGTTTGTTGCTCCTCCCCCTCGTTATGTGAGTCGTTAGTGCTCCCCCTGCCACAATGGGCTTCATTAGGGTCTTTTGTGGCTATAGGTGTGAATGCGGTTTCATCTTCCTGGGGAGAGATCTCAGGACTGAATTGGAGGTGTTAATGGCTCCTTAATGATAGAAGTATCTGGAACTCCCAACTCGTCAGTCAGAACTGATGAAGCCTCTTGGCTAAGAGGTCTTCAAGGAACTCAAGCAAGTCCAGTTGCTACGATTAATCTAAGAGAATAAGTCTCCATTAGGTTAGTTAGAGAATCTCTGACTGAGAATCTTCACAGACATGTTAATTCAAAGTTGTGAAAACATGGTTGTCTGTTCCTCCTGCTGCCAAAAGTAATGGATTAATCCTGGAAGGATGTTGATGTCACGCTTTTCTCCTTATGAAAGTAACACCAGCAAACCAGTTCTCATTGATCAGATGGGAGCACATCAACCAACCAATCAACCAATCAACCAGTCCATATGGAGACTACAGCCCCACTATTCTTGGATTTTATAAAAAATCTTCACACCTTTAAAATCCTCAAGTAGAGAATAAACATTCATATCAACTATAAAACCAACCACAGCTCAGACCAAAATCAGTTTATTATTTAGTTTTAAGCACTGGTTACAAAAAGTTGCGTGCAGCAGGTTTGTGTGTTGCTCTAAGGCCGTTTGTACTTCGCACTAATTTGCTTTCTCTCTGCAGCTGCAGCATCGCACCAGTCGCTTGGTCACAGACTTAGTTATGGATTTCAGCGGTAATGGCCCGTTAATGGCCTGTTTTGTTTCAGCACTAAAAGTAGAAAAGTCGACCTGACTCGGTGACACCAGAGTTGTACACATTATATGATAATCACCCAATTTGATCCTTCAAGAATGATAATTTACAGACTAGATGCAGGATGGAGACATAAGAAAGCTCCTGTACAGTGGCGCCCGCTGTGTAATAATTTGTTTGTGTGCACAGGATAGTCTGTTTCAAGGTTAAAGCTGCTGATCGTCTCAGAGGGGAACCTGTTTGTTTGTCTCTAACCTTTTCTTTCTTCTTGTTTTCCTTCTTTGCTCATGCTGCCTCCCCTCCTCTGTCGGCCCTCAGGCGATGGTGAGTAGAACAGAAGTGAGATTTTCAGCTGCTGTGTTTTACAGTTGGTTTGATGTTTTTCAAATTCTGTAATTGCAGCGAAGCGTTTCGATCTGCTAAGTGCAGGAGTTTTTCCTTCTGGTGGAAATTTGACACGAGCAGCTTGCACGCATATGCACCGACACCGAACAGCCCAGACACTGTTCTTCTGTATTTCAAAAGATTCTGACAGCACGAGAAAAAAAATGTTCCTTTTTGTGAGCAAGAGGCTTTTTTCTGATTAGTCCTTTAAATGATACGCTGTGGTTCAGCAGGTCAACAGCTCCGTTTAAAAAAAAATAACACACCTGCACAAACAAACGCTGATAAAGGTTGCAGCAACTTTATCCGTTTAGTTCACGTTTACTTTGAAGTACTATAGGGAGACGTATATCCGCTGGCTGCAGTCTGTTATCTGAGTTGTGAATATTCACTCGCTCAGATCTGAGAAACTTGACTCATCTGATTAAAGGAACTCGTCTCCTTTGATTCGAAGTCAATCCTCCAGAGTGAAGGTCACACTCTCAACGGCAAAAAAAGTCTGAAACGAAGAAAAAAAAAAAAAACACCCCCAAGGTTTCAAAGAGATATAAAACTTCTCGGACAATCTTGTTTAACTTCGTCAACTCACACAAATCACAAAAAGGAAAGAAAAACAGACAGGAGATATGTGACCAAACACAAAACCGTACAGATGGGACTGAAATAATTTGAGAATAAAATCACGGGAGCCAAAAGAAGCAAAAGAAAAATAAGGCAAAGACACATGAGAAGTATAAAATCTCAGCACAGAGGAGTTAGTATAACCAACTGTAATCCAAAATCCTCACATAGCTGGAAATAAAAATGAGTTCACAGAAGGTCAGAGCAGCTCCAGACCTCTTATTCTGATTGAAGTTAACAGTTTTCATGTTGGCTGGTATGCCTTCACACAGGCGTTTGTTCTGTTTTTCTATTCAGGATTATATTTACTTCTTTAAATATGACACTCGTCACCTCACATGATTCAAGCCGTCTTGCCCAGAAACTTCAATCCAAACTGCATGACCACATACACCTATAGTTTAGCTTTCCGATTGCAAACTAAAACTTCAGAAAGGCGGCACATTTTTCAAACCTGCAGCTCGACTCATTCCTGCTGCTTCACTTTGACTCCACGTCTCGTCCTGTCAGGTGATATCGTGTCTTCTTCTGGTCTCGCAGCTGTCAAAAGAAGCTGATTTTAAAAAAAGAAAAAAAATAATAAATAATGTTGAAGGACATTTCCCGGTGAGCTGAAGAGATTAAGCACTTCAAAGTCAATAAATATGCTCTGGAATAACTTTCAGTCAAAGAAGCTGTCAGAAAACATGTTCAAATGTTCCAGTCGGCTACTGTCACTCTCTGTCTTGTATAGCCAGACCATTCTCTACTGCTGGTACAATGCTGTGCAGAATGATCTGACTTCACTTTGTTGTTGTTCTCTGGTGTATTTATATTTCTTTAAACCAATCACAGTCATGCTGGGTGGTGCAAAGCCCAGGATGCAGCAACGGTGTCCCATCACAACGGTGTCTGGAGAATTGTTTCAGTGGAACAATTGCATGTAGGGAGGGGAACACTGTTATAAAATTTTTTTTAAAAACTCAAAGGGATTGCCGTACTGCATGATCCAAACCTTTGATGAAACTAAATTTATTTTAAAAATAGTAATGCAGATGATGTGGAAAGTGGAGAAAGCCGTCTGAAATGGTTTGTACCTGAAGCCTCCATCTGGTGAGTCAGATTACCGTCATCAAAACATCCACAGAAGTGTCCAACAGTAACTGAAAAATAGCCACAGAGTTTTCTTGGGAGGAACAATTGCCAGCGTTTTCCTTTGGAATAAAGTCAGTGCACGAATGCTCGGCATCATGGACACATCTGCACTGTTATATCCAAAACTGATGCGTTCAGGTTCCTTTGCTAGCCCTCGCTGACAATCTGGGACTCTTTAGAAAAGTTACTATCAGCATGTGAGGTGTTGCTTTTCCACATCTGTGGCTCCTACCTGCAGCAGTGGGACGTCTAGTTGAAGGCTGAGTGTCTTTACTGTTGTAGCTGTAAGCTTTTACCGTCCAGACCAACTCTGCAGTCATAAGGAGGCTGCACAAACTGGGATTTTAGGTCTTTTTCTGGAGAAGCAAACACAGTACACAGCATTTAAATAACTCTTATACTGAACTGTAGCTCGATCTAAACACTCATTGGCTGACAGTACTGACTTGATTACCTCTGTGTACATGAAACTACCAATGACTGTAAAAAAGATGGACGTAGCAACCGGCCCTGAAAAATGAAGCCAACCTGGAAGTGTCAAAAACCTGCAATATCACTACGTCCACTAGCTGCTGGCTCCAAACAGCCCAGGCTCCCATAGAAATGAACTGAAAAAGAAGTGATCACAGACCACGAGATACTGCATTCCTGCAGCTCAGGATTTTTTTCTTATTAGTTTTCATGGTCAAATCCAGAGATCAGGTGACCAATCTGAAAATAAATCAATACTGAATTTTTAAAAAATCGTCAACATTTTGCGGGGCAAGGGGCGTGGCTGGCTTGACGATGCCGACGAAGCGAGCAGAAGGCGGTAAATGTGGGCGGGGCAAAGAGGGCCCGCCTCTCAATCCGTCTGACCAATCGCTGCTCCTATGGCTCCGCCCCCCTCCGACGACTTTTGCGTCACTGGCTCCAAAAATCCAAGATGTCAACCAGGAAGTAGCAAAACCCTGGCTTCATTTTCTCAGTGCAGAAACCAACGGGTGACGTCACGGTAGCTACGTCCATCTTTTATACAGTCTATGGAAATTACCGGTAGCTGCGGCTACGTACTGCTAAATCTCATGGTCTCTGCATGACTAATGGGACGACTGTGGATGTTTCTAATGATGTGACTTTCCACTTTTTACAGCATTTAGAATCTGGTTATAGATTAAACTGCTAGCATCGTGAATATTTTGAGGTGTTTGGGTGCACACTGCACAGGATATCTGGAGAACTTACAACTTCCCACCGTGTTTGGACTCCGTTAATGGAAAGCACATATTAATGGAAGCAGCTCCACAGTCCAGCAGCGACCACTTCAATTACAACCTGTAGAATAATGAACTTTACAGGTGCGGATGATGGAAAATCTTCTTGCTCAGCCTCTGCTCATAACAAAAATTAACTTTGTGCAATTGCAGTGAGATTCAAAAGATATTTTAATTTGTCCCATGCTCATACAGTTTGTGCAAAGAAATGCAAAGTGACTGTTTCACAAGGCTGGGAAATAACAATAAGACGATATTTAGAAAAACGCTCCTTTAAAAACAATAGAAAAAAGTCATAGCATACAGGTCATGTGGTGGCAAATTTTACAGGTTGATGATTTACTGAGTGGAATAGTCGAGGAGGCAAACCGTTAAATTAGAAAAATACAATTATTAAACCGTTACCGAAGGCTCTTCCGTTTGAGGGAGCGTTCAGTGAAGTTCAGCGCTCAACAATCCAACCGAGTGAGTTCATTTGGCTTAATGAGCATACATGAATATAAGTATTAGCTAAATCAACATCGACAAAAGCACCAGGAGTTTGGATTCTTTCCACGAGACGGTCGGCGGAGAAACACCTGCATGATTATGAGCCGCGCTGCTGTCAATGAGCCAATTATTGTGTTTTCCAAACAGCTGTTGGCCGACACAAGCATGATTTCACCGACACTGTGCTTCAATTAAAGGGTCTAACAGAATCTAATCGCATCTCCGTTACATCAGGTGGAGTCATTCCTGATTTTAATAACCATTTAGATGTCGGTGTGGCTGGTTAAAGCGCTTGCAGACAGTGGAAATAGAATTGTTTATTCACTGTGTAATTCAAACTGCACGACCTGGCAGCTCCGATGTGTCAGCCAGAGATTCACAAGGCTTCTGTTTCAAGAATGAACGTGTTGAAATATTAAAATATGCTGCTTTCACTACCCAGAATCCCTCCCCGCACATCCTGGATCGCTTCTGACATTGCAAACTAGCTCTGCCTCACCTCTGAAGCCAGAGCCACTTCATCCCAAAGCCCCCGACGTCACCAGAAGAGTCTAATGATTCCCTCTTGTGCTACGTTAAATAAATGAAGCTAAATACAGTCACACTTCATTAAAACGTTGTTTCTTACAGTGAAGAGATCCGTGGCGAGCCCATGAATCCCAGAGAGCCCTCGTGCATAAATGTCTGTAATCAGTTCAACGTAATGATAACTGGCAGCGAGCGGCTGTGAGGAGAACCTCTCTGGGTTTCTGAAGGCTGCGAACGCATCTGAAGGACGTTTCTCAGGTGCTTCACGGCTTCAAAGTGTCGTTGGAGGATAAAAACTTCATTTGAACTTCAGTATTTTGTTTATACTGGAGATGAAGAACGTCCGTCCAAAGCCTCCTGCTGCAGCAAATCCACAGATCTACAGATATGTAACCAAACATCTGTTAAAGGAGAACTGCACCAAACGCTGTCCTGTCGCCTAAAGGAGGTTCTGTGTTCTGGTTGCTGCATGATTAATCGATTAGTTCTCAACTTTTAAACTAATCATGAACTTTTTTCTTAATTAGTGAGTAATTTTGAAGAAAAATCTTGCATTTTTTTTTGATTCCAGATCCTCAAATGGGAATATTTTCATATTTTGTTTGTCCTTTATGACAGGAAACTTAATATCTTTGCATTTTGGGCAACACAAGTCATTTTGGTTTTTTTTTTTTATTATTATTTTCTAAAAATCATGAAAATAATCAACAATAAAAATAATTCAGTCAGTTACAGCCCTCTACAATGTATATACAGTAGTTGTACATTAAATATAAGTTGTTAGCTTAGCTTCGATTTGTTCTCAGCTATCTTTTAATCCTTAATTAGTGAGCAATTTTTAAGAAAAATTCTCAAGTTTTTGGGTTTCCAGCTTTTTAAATGGGAATATTTTCAGATTTTGTTCATCTTTTATGGCAGTAAACTCAATATCTTTTGGGCAAAACAAGACATTTGAGGTCATTTTTCTGTATTTTCGGACACTTTTAGACCAAACAAGCAATCTAAAAATCATGAAAGTAATCAACGATAAAAATAATTGCCATTTCCAGCCCTGTACAATGTTTATACAGTAGCTGTACATTAAATATAAGGTGCTAGCTTAGTTTGTGTGAAACTGGAAATAAGGAAACAGCTACTCTGGCTTTGACAGGAGGGGACACAACTTGTCTACCAGTATCTTTAAAACTGATGCAGCACTAAGCTTCTAATACACAAAACATGTCAGTCTGTCAGATTATTTATCACACAACCAAGAATGTAGATCTGTAACAGGGCTGGACATATCTGAATGATTGTGCCAACATGTGCACCGCTGTCATAATCAAGTTTGTTAAAACCAGGATGAGAGCTAATCCAGGTTTCTGAAGTCAGGATTTGATGTTTACAATAGTGGTGGGATGTGACTAAAACAAATAAATCTAATTAGTTAGAGGATTTGTAATGAATTAATCGCGATTAATTACATTTTTATCAAATAGCAATATTTTCCACGATAAGCAAAGTTTTTCAATTCAGATCAATTTTTCTTTGACGACTGAACCAATGAACAGACATAAACAAAAACAAAAAAAATGTATAAAAGTGCAAACTCAAAGTGCAATTATTGTGATTATATTCAACATTTTACGACGTTTTGTCTCAGCTGCCTCGTGCTTCATGTCCACAGGATCCGTCAATTTCTCATTTTCCGTTCATTGTGTAGTGAAACACCCTTGTCGTGTTCTGGAGGGAGTTTCAAGCGACGAGGCGTATTGGCGCCGTCATTTGCATAAAGTAGTATTGACTTCAACTTTATGCAAAATGTCCCCTGTGGACACTTAGCATCAGGCCTTGGTAAGAAAAACAACTTTCCGCCCAACAAGCCATCAGCGCGGTCTCGTCTTCCATCACTGTTCACCAAACTTTCCTGACGTCACTCAATGCATCCTGTGAATCTTCTTCGCGGCTGACAAATGAACTTTAGTCGTATTAGCGCCACCTACTGGGCTGGAGTGTGCCTCAGTGTTACCGGTGTGCCAGAAATTAGGGAACTGAGAAAGATTAAATGCATTATTTTAAAGTCCCAGCCCTCGTTTACAAGCACAAACTTCAAAACTACGACCATGAGCGGGCTAACCGGGCTACTCGACTCCATGAAACAGTCGTTCCTGATTAAAAATGCATTGTGGAGATCCTCACAACTGTAGCAGCACAACTGTTTCCTTGTTTGTCCTCCAGCAGACAATAAACGCGTTTCTGAACGTTCAAAAACAAAAGAAGAACAAACGTTGTAAAATATTAAGTCGCCAGCACCTTCAGAGTTGACAGAACCCCAACATCACAAACACAATTGATTTTTTTGTTTGTTTTTTTGCTGAAAGTTCTTTTTGTGTTTCATTCTTTTGTCTTCACCTTGTTTGTTTGTTTGTTTGTTTCTCTGCGGCTGTGCATTGTTGAATGCTCTGTTTTTTTCTCGGGGCTTTCCAGACCATGATCCAGTCGAGGAAGGCTGGACTCGCCCACACACTGGCCACGCGGACCTCCCTGAAAGACGAGGAGCTGGTGAGTGGACCCACACATACGCTGCACACACGGACACGCTGGCCGCCTGCAGGGAGGCTTTCTGTCGCCGCCACGGCAGCTAATGGGGATCTGAACTCACTTTTACAGACAAACACACACTTTCCCGCACTTTTCTCTGCAGCCGTATTCCCGCCGTCATTTTCCTGCAGCAGTATTGTTAATCTGTTTTGCCGGAGATCCAATAAAGTGTGAATATCTGCTGAGTCAACCTCAGGATGGGGCCACGAGCAGCGAGGCTTCATATTTGTTTATTGCAGTTTGTTTTGCGCTCTGCGTCGTCGCTATAGCGTGCCGAGTCACGCTTATGATTACATTGTGGATTAATAATTCAAGTGCATAAAGTAGGTCAGCGAATGTAGCAGGAAATATTACGGCGGAGATCAAGTTTAAAGGTTCAGAACTGATCCGGTATAATGACACAGAAAAGAGGTGATAGCTGTGAAGGTGCAGCCGACTGGCGTGTTCAACTGGAACTGGAAGTGTGCATCGTTAGCGTCCTGTACCATCAGATAGACAGTACAGAGGAATTACTCTGAGGCTCGGATGCAGCTCTAAAAGCAGCTGTGCCATAAACAGCGGCTCTCCTTACCTTGTAATTGAGTTCACATTTAAAGTTGAAGGTGGAGGAAGACTCCAGTGTGCCGACGGCGTTCTTAGAATTCTGTCTTCCTTATTACCTCCAGAGAAAGATGACGTTCTGAAACGGAGTGATCTGTTTTTGCAAGTGAACTCTTCATATGTAAAATGTAATACAGTCTACAGTCATGACACCTAAAGTGAAATATTTCAAACCTTTTTCTGTTTTATTTTGATGATTATGGCTTAAAGCTCATGAAATCCACTATCTTACATTATCAGAACATTTCCTAAGATTAATTAAAAAATAAAAAATAAATGCAGAAATGTCCAATTTATGAAAAGTATGTTCATTTATACGACTACTAATACTTTACCATGAATTACTGCAATACAATTCTCATTATGTCAGACTTATTTATGTATGTAGCACTTTTCATACAAATGCAACTTAAAGTGTTTTACAGATAACAGAAATAAAAATGCAATAAAACAACACAAACAAAATCGTGTTCTAAATGAAGGACGCTAAACATGAGGACTGACACTGTCTTATTTAACACATGCAGTGAGGACTCACGAGATAAAATCGAGCAAAACAGGATAGATGAATAGATGAAACAAAATAAAATATGTATTATTGAAACGGAGCTAGAAATAGAACATGACAAAAACTAAATAAGAAAGTTATCAAAATGTAACAAAAAAAATTAAATAAGTGAATAAAGGATCAATAAATAAAATTTATTCTAATAAAAGCAATAAAAATATAGAATTGACCAAAAGCCTGACTAGGTCTTTATAAACATCAACACTCTCTACATGATTGTTTGATGTAATGAATATAGAATATATGAAAGTTTACTTTTTGAAATAAATTAGGGGGGAAAGCACATAAATCTTGATTAAACATGATTAATGAGAGACGAAAGGAGAAAAATGTGAAACCATGTGAAACATAAAAATAACTATTCGGTGACGCTGTTAAAAAGTCTTTTGTTATTAAATATACAATCTGCCTTTTGGTGGAAGCCAAACAAGTCTACGTGTGATGCATTTTAAAAGCTTTTTATATTGTGAAATGTGTCGAATCTGCAACTTAAAAGCTGCCAGAACAAATGAGTACAATATTTAGCTGGAATTTAAAGCAGCACAACATACAGATAGCTCAACTAAGAGTGTTTAAATGAACGTACTTAGTTTCTTTCCACCGCTGTGTGCAGAAATCTATCCGCTGACCAGACTGGACTGAGAAACCAGCGCCTCCAATACAGGAAAACATTAAGTTCTTTATGTGCAACACGATCTGTTCCATTATGTGATTACACCGACAGAAGGAAGTAACACACGTACAGAAACATCTTCACCATCCTGGACGCCCAGCAGAGGTTTGCGAGTGGAAAAACATCCAAAAGTTTAATAAATTTGCAGCCAAAATGCCACCTTATTCAGCCAAATACCACAAGAGAGAAAGAATGGAAATCAGAGGCGATAAAATCAGGTAAAAGCACCGAATGGCACAAAGTGGAGTTAAAAGGCAACAACACGGGTCGGATCGATAAAAGTCAAAGCAGTTAGAACACGACCAGAGCCAGAAAAAGTGAAAGTAGGAGCCATGAAAGAAGAAATAAAAACCGATTCCAGTATATAAATCAATGTTTTCTAACGTAGATAACACTCATTGCTATGCTATAATATTCAGAGGACTCATAAGAACAATAACAGTGAGTCACATGTCACATATAAAATACCGCGTTCACCAAATCGAACTGGGCTCCTCGTCAAGGTGTCCTCTCATGTGTTCACCTCCTCCTACTCTCCTCCCACACCGGACCACAGCTCCACTTCATCACAGGGGAGGCCAGGAATTATTTTTAAATTATACATAATCACATTTCTCTTTAATATTAGTAGATGCTGCATTTAAAATGGCATTTTAATTAATTTCTTCCAACATCTAGGCTCCATTAATTCCGCTTGGAGCCCGACAGAAGCACTTCACACCCAAATTCACTTCCCTTCTTCTCTCTTAAATTGCTCTTAAAGTATTTATTACAGTGAAATGTAGCGCGCAGTCGGATAAAACTGCAAAACCTGACCGTTCCTACAATTTTCCTTGTCCTTGGAATTTAATTACATACCTTTCAAAAAATGAACTTCTTTAAACATTTTTCTGACTGTTTAAATGTATGAATATTTCACAGATTTTCTCTGCTTTGTGAAACTACAGATAATATTTAGTGGAATCAATGGAGGAAAAAAAACGATTAATTTATGTTTTTCAGAAAACACCAAGATAGATGGTGGAAAACTGTGAAAGTGAATATCTGTAAAATAAATATATTTTTTGTTGATTTAAATAAAGTAAAATGGTGTAATTTTATGGCCATACCTTGTAAAACAACAACGTGCTATTTGTAAAAATACAAATATATGATGTGGACATTGTTTACAGCTTTAGCCTAATATTTTATGGTTAACGTGTAGGTCTTGCTAATTATTTTCTGTCGTTTAACAAAACAGGAAAAATCTGTCAAATGACCGAATTATTTATCATTTTTCAGTCCTTTATCTACATAATTTTTCTTTCAAATAATGACAAATATTTATAAAATAACATTTTTAAGCAAATCGAAATATACAGAAGTGTGTAAATTAAGGACTTCACATTTCGAAAGAAAAAATTCATATTTAACAGAAGATTGATTTATATGTTATTTACATTTTTATTGCGGTTAACGTTGAAATTAATATCTGTTGAAATGTGATTTTATTAGATAATATTTCAGCACTTAATATGCATAACTTTTCTTCTAAATGACAGCAAATATTGGTAAAAATAATAATATTTTTTCCAAATGTAATTATAGTAAATACAGTGAAATTTCATGAAGAATTATGGACTGCATATTAAAAATCTTTTTTTTATATTTTTGAGTTTTGGCCTGTTTTTAAAAAAAATGTATTTATTTACAGTCAGGTGTAAATTAAATATATTTTTCATTTGCATTTTCCTAAATATTATCTGTAATTTAACAAAACAGGAAAAATCTGTAAAATAACAATTAAAAATATTATGTATTTAAAATAAGTTAAACTGTCAGATGTTGTAAAAGAACAAATTACCATTGATAAAAAAAAAAAAATACATGGACGTAAACATGTAAATTAATCTTTTTTTCCTGTGATTTTACTTGTTCTTAATATGTAGTTAAGAGAACAATGATTAAAAAATTGGTGAAAACCATTATTTAATTTTTTTTTTTTAACGTTGTAGACTGTTCTGAGAAAAACCAGATACAACATGTGTGGGCAGCCCTTTTAACATATAATACATCTATATATATAAAATACCCAAGTTTAATAGCAAAGGTAGTGAAATGTCCCTTACAAAAGGTCACGCGCTCATAGGGTTAAATGTTAAACCACTTAAACATGTTAAATACTGTTAGAAAAACAGCCTCTCATGCTCTTTTCTTTCACATCTGTCTGACTCTGTCTTCCTCCCTCTGCTGCAACAGAAGAACCACGTCTACAAGAAGACCCTGCAGGCTCTGATCTACCCCATCTCCTGCACCACGCCGCACAACTTCGAGGTGTGGACGGCCACCACGCCCACCTACTGCTACGAGTGCGAGGGTCTGCTGTGGGGCATCGCCCGGCAGGGGATGCGCTGTGCCGAGTGCGGAGTCAAAGTGCACGAGAAATGCCAGGAGCTGCTGAACGCCGACTGTCTGCAGAGTGAGTAGAGTCCTGCAAGAGTCCTCCATCCAGAGGAGCATCTTCTGTCTGCGGTTGTTGTATTTTATTGTTGCTTCCCGCCAACAGGAGCAGCCGAGAAGAGCTCCAAGACCGGAGCGGAGGACCGGACGCAGCACATCATCATGGCTATGAAGGACAGGATGAAGATCCGCGAGAGGAACAAGCCGGAGATCTTCGAGGAGATCCGGAAGCTGTTCAACATCTCCAAGATGATCCACGCGCAGCACATGAAGAGCATCAAGCAGAGCGTCCTGGACGGCACCTCCAAGTGGTCGGCCAAGATCACCATCAACAGTACGTCCTGCCAGCGTTTACATTTCACATCCAACATGGTGCCGGAAATCTAAAGCTTGAGCATTTATCTTTTTAAAAGTGGGTTGATTGTGTTGGCGACGACAGAAACAACAAACTGCAGCTGTCTTTACAGTTTCGACTCTTAAGATTTCATTACAACGTTTTCCTTTTTTACCTCTTTGAATCGTGAGCTATTTATTGGCATTTTGTTTTTGCTCCTCTCACAGTTTTCCTCACTGTGGGCTCATTTTCACTGAATATCAAATCCTGCACCTCTATGGAAACAGACCTGAATAGAAGTAGAAAAGTCTTGTGACACAGTTAGAATGACATAAATCATCACAATAAAATGAAAGTAGAGTTTCTTTGATTATTAAAATTTAAAAACCTCCAATCAAACAATTGGATCAAACATGTTTTGCAGTCAGAAAAAATGTCGACTCTACATGCTTTAGATATTTGGCTCTTTACATTTTTAAAACCTTTGCAGTCTTTCTGTTTTCTCACTTTGTTCTGCACATCAGCTTTAGAAACATGTTTCACTCTGCTGAATGTATCAGCTCTGTGTGCAGTTTAAACCATGTTGTTTACCATGTTTATTTTATTTAGATACCACGCTTTCATTTCTTTCATCTTTTTATGAGCTGAAAGTTCTCAGATTTTCCATCCAGTGACTGTTGCTCACAGCTGAGAGATTTGTGGCTTTTGAGTTGTGCTGAGAAGTGCAGAATATTTTTTTTTTGACACAATCTGATCAGTGCTAAGGGATTTTATTTTTGGTAATTTTTAACTGACACATGTAGAATAAAGTGATTTTTTTTTTAAACTATAAAAAATTACAATTTAAATCCTATTTTGGGCTTTTTATCACACATGGCACATTCATGGACCTTTGAAACTGATTCTTTCTGTTTTTACAGTTTCTAACTTTGATAAATTGTGTAATTTTGCTGATTAAAAAAAAAAAAAGAAAACATGCATTTCAAACCTGAGAGTGGATTTCAGGGTGCAGAGGGTTCATTTGTGACGCTGCATGTCTGTTTACCAATTAGTGTAGTGTTTCATTCATAACTTTTTCTGTCTTTTGGTCATTGAAAGACGATTCTTCGCGGCACAAACACTGGAGCTGAACACTGCACTGAGCCACATGTCATTCTCACAAATTGGAAGAACATATTTCAAAAGTGTGATAATAAGTGCAAAATAACATTCATTCTGCATTTTCTCAACTTTTTCCTGCACCTCTGTCTTCCCCAGTCTCTATTCCTACTAATGCACCTCCGTGGTGTCCGTGAGGCGTGTAGCAGCAGGATGCTGTTTGTATGAGCGTCAAAACAAGTGTGGTGTTTCTAACACTCATATCTCTGTGTGAAGTTAATCTGCAGCCTGAACTCAAGGTTACTTTGCTCTATTTTCACTATGAGGTAACCTGTTAAATCAGTCCAACTCATCAGGTCTTTTGATAAACATGTAAAACAGCTGCTACGTTCTCACAAACCGAGCCGAGAAACAGTTTTGCAAAGGAGAGCTGGTCGTGAATCCGTAGCCGGTTGTCAGGGAATCGATCATAACCGGCCTCGGGGGACGTTTTCAGGCACATCTCGGGACTGACAGTTTTTGCTGCTCCTTCAAAATCTGAGGTTGGTGTCAGGGAAGCTGACGGCGTTGTCATCAACACCTGTACAGACCTGCAGCTGTGCGAGTGTGAAGCTGGAGTGCGTCACGTTTCCCCGGATAAACAAAATTACCAAAAACATTTACGTGATTAAGAGTTTCTCCTCCTCTGAACTGTGGACAAACTTTAGCTGTTCGTCTACAGGCTCCACTAATGCGAACAGACCGGCGCCACCTCCTCCCTTCGCCGTCACATCATCAAGACTGCCGCTGTTACCACGGCAACCAGACACATCACACCGTGCAGTGGCAGCAATGTTGCCATGGCAGCCATCACACCTTGTCTCCGCGATCAGCAGCGACGAGCTCCGTTAAGGAGCCGATACGGGGGCAGGTGCTCGGCGGCGCTTTGTTTGAATTAATTCACGGCCGGGCGCTAATTGTCGTCACTCACTTTTTCTGCTGATCAAGGTCGAGGTTCTACAAACTGTCTTTATTTTGGACTTTTTAAACGTGGTTACAAGATTTTCTAAATATTTGTCAGCATAGATTTTAGAATAACAACTTGGTTTCTTGTAGATAAATATGCACCTTTATTTACCGTCCCATTACATTCAGATTTACTGACATCTTTTATCCTTTGAGTCCAGCAATTTAATCCTCCAGAAGGTTATCAGAATTAAAATTGTTACCCAAGTTTATGTGTAAATCGCTCTTAAAATAAAGCCAAAAAAATCACTTATTTAGAGACGTTAAACACTGAATGGGGTCAGCTTGACCATCACAGATAAACAGGAAGTCATCATTGATTACGTCACAAAAGCACAAACCAGGAACATTTAGAAAAACAGGATGTTCATGATATAAAACATATAAAACATCAAATTCAGTAACTTTTCTCTGCAGAGTCGATGAACACAGATCTGTTTTTATAAACGAGAGATCTTAATAATGTCTCTTCTCAATTTTTTATTTTATTTTTTTTCAAGTCCAGGTTTCCACTACATTAGCTTTTTAAAAAATGTCAAAATTACACCGTTTATCGCCGCCAGAAACAGTAAAAATAGCAAGAATCCACAGATTTTTAACGACCCTTGAACTACCCATCTGTGATGTGTTGTTTTGCAGGAAGATTAACCAAAATAAACCAGTTTGCATCTTTAAAAAACCACAAAAACACACAACCGAGGAGCTAATAATGACTCAGCCGTGACAAAAAATTCAGCGACTTTTCGGCTAAAACTGCGGGTTGTGTTTGTGCAGAGCAGAAAGGAGACGTGCATGAAAACAAAGTGAGAGTATGAGTAGGTGAGGCTGAAGTACGCAGAAATGTGAGAGGAGCAAAACAAACAAACAAAACTGCTTGTTCAGGGGGTTAACAGAAACTTAAAGTCTTCAAAGGTTAAACATTTGTCCCGCATTAGTTAAGTTCTGAAGCTTATTCCACCTACGAAGATTATTATTATTTATTATTTTTATGTAACTGTACTCTGTACTCCTAAATAGTAATCCACTGTAAATCATAGTCAACCTAATGTGTCTAAGTCTGAAGACAGAACACCTTGAGGGGATTTCTTCAACTTTGGCCCAAACGTCCACTTGAACTGATCAGATTTTGGTCCTTAAAGGTCACCGTGTCTTCACAAAGCACGATTCTGGCCACAGCTCGGGAACCTATGTGCTAATTATGACAGAATTTCACACACATGTCTGACAGGATAAACTAATGAAGCGATGATATTTTACATCCTAAAAGGTCAGCTTCACTGTGACACTGGAATGTCATCATTGGGTGTGATAACTCAGGAACAGAAGCAGAGGCGGGGACCAGGTTTCACGTTTGGTCGGATACTGAATCGGCGACGCTAATCTCAGGTGTTCACTTAGAAACTGTGGTGACTTTACGGATCTCCTCTAAGAGTGTGTCACTTCTTTGCAACAGCATCCATGTTTGAAGCTTCATTGAACCTCATTTTTGCTAAATTCTGTCTCATCAACCTGATTCCTCAATTAAAACTATTAAATATAGTTTTGAATAGCCAAGAAGCACATAAAGAAACCTTGAAACACCACATATATGAGTTTTGTAAATGTCTTATTCTTATTATTCTTAAAGATGTGGAGTTTGTTCGCTTCAAAAGTTGCACAGCAGCAGCTTCCGTTAAGACGGGATCACTTCATTACAGCAGAAATGTAAACATTAAACACAGGTTTAATCATTAAAAGACTTATTTTCTGTCGGAATCAACTTTAATGACCAAATATGTGGAGACAAACAAGGAATTTTACTGTTTTGTTGTAGAAATTTGTGAAATAACGCATTTCAAAGTCAATACTGACCCTTTAAACATGGTGAAAAAGACACTAAAGGCATCTATTAGTCGTTCAGGTTGCCTGAAATTTTTACGTTTTTTCTTTTTTCGTCAACAGCAACCGCCGTTATAATGGACTCACATAATTACAACAGAATTATTTTAAAAATACAATCAAGTTTAATTAGTAAAACACTTGCTTTCTATCAGAATCAGCTTTGATGGCCAAACATGTGAACACAAACAAGAAATGTTACCGTTTTCTTGTCTCTCCCAGTGAAATAACACACACACAAAGTCTATACTGACCCTTTAAACATGAGACTACTGCGTGACATTTTCACATTTTTGCTTTTTTGTGCATAAATAAATCATCGATTTGCCCAAAAAGTTGCAGAACAGCAACCCTTGTTAAGATGGAGTCGCTTCATTACAACAGAAACACACTAAAGTTTAATCATTAAACCACTTATTTTCTATCGGAGTCGCCTTTCTTTGCCAAATCTGTGAACACAAACAGGCAATTTTACAGTTTTCTTAAAAATAAATTCACATTTCAAAGTCTTCAGAGCTACTTATATGATACGAGTCAGGATAGATGTGAATTCAAACTGCAACCTGACTGGTCAGTGAAGGCTTCCTACCATGAGGCAATACATGTAGTTATAATAAAGATTTAGATACAGAACATTAGTGAAGTTGTCTTTCCTCGAGTGCGGATGCTTGTAGCCACTTTAAAGGAAGTTTTGGTCATTTCAAACCGGTGATAAATGAGATAAAACCCTGATACTGTGCATGTCTTTTATCTTAAACACGATGGAGAAATGACTAAAAAGGCATCTGTACATTTAATTCAAGTTGTCTCAAATGTTCACACTTTTTGCTTTTTCCTCACGTTTTTTCTTGGTTCTGCATCAATCAACCATCTGAAACACAATCACTTTTAACTCAGTTTAAGCCGAGCTGTGATTGAACTCGACGCCGGACCGACAGCAGAAGCTCCGCTGAGAGCTCTTTGAAAAAAAGCCACTGATTTCATTAGAGAATATCTCGACCGATGAATATTCAAAACTCCCTTCAAGTGCAGATGAAATCCGTCAGTCTCTGAACAAAATGAAACAGACGGCAAATATACGAGAAGCAGAGACGTGGGTTGACATGTTGGTGGGTTTGGTAAACAAAGGAACATTTTTCGAGGTCGAGTGCTCAACATATGTGAACGAATATGAGAAAACCCAGTTTCTGTTTTGCTAACTTTGAGCTTATGGTGCACTAATCTGCATCAGACACTGACTCCTGTTTGTTTATTAAGGAAGGAAGTAGTGCAGGACTCATTGAAAGTGATCGTTTGATGATGTGAACTTTGACTATTTTTTGTGTAATTTGACTATCTTTACTTTTAATGCTCTTATCTTGGCCATTACAAAGACTATAAATACATGCTGTGTCATTTGATATGATACTACTTGCAAATGTTTTATATTAGCCGTTATGTTAAGTTTT